ACCTGAGCTTGGGCTGAGTGCTTGAGCCGTCAGCTGAAACCCCAGGAGTGGACAGTATCACCCGGGACAGGGGCAGCGTGTGGGTGAGGAGAGGAGGGGCTGGCCCTGGTTTGGGGTTTCTTTTCGGCAGGGGAGAGGAGAAGGAAATGTTCTAAAATTAGATCATGGTGATGCTGGCAGAGCCGTGAATATACCAGCAGCAACACGGTGCACATCCTGAGCTGTGCGGCCTGTTGTATCTCAATAAAGCTCTTTGGAAAAGGAAATCTAGGTGAACTTTTACCGACAACTTGGTTGACTTCACGTTGTTATCTATAAATGATTTTTTATTCTCTCCTTGCCAGAGAGTAATATTTCCTTTTAACCAAAGGTTTTGGAATTCAATTAACTTATTTGTTTTGCTCGTAAAATGCCTTTTTAAGTAAAGAACCATTATTAGCTGTGGTTACAAATTTGCATTAGGAGTTTCCACTCGATTTCTCAAATTCCCTACCAGCAGGCGGCCAGACGCCTTATCTAAACCTCAGTGCGGTTTGTGCGCTTGGGAAACCAATCCAGCGCAGGCTGCGCCCTGGATTTGGGGAGCTCCTGGCGTTCTAGTGGGTGGAGCCTCATAAACAAAGCTACCGTGTCAGGGACGCTCTTAAGCCCTCCTGTGGTCCAACCCATATCCCTAAGGACACAGGTAGAAAATCCATCTCAGACGATGAAAGAAATTAAATTCTTGGGCAAACTTGAGCTTCTATCTTTTATTCCTAGAAAAGATAAGGAAAACACTAGTGTATTCAAGAGAGGAAATGCCTGCAGGCTGCCAGGAGGGCGGCGCTCCGCCCCCGAAAGACGACGTGGTGCGGGTTTCCCTGTCACAGGAATTCAAAGACTTTTAACCCAGCTTTTTAGGCGTGAACCTCCTTTTGTTGTTAATCCTCAGCAGAGGATATTCTTCACTGATTTTTAGAGAGAGTGGAAGCGAGGGAGGGAGGGAGGGGAGTGAAAAAGATGGTGGTTGGGTGGTTGCCGCCTGGGGTGGGGATGGAACCTGCAACCCTGGTCCGTGCCCTTGACCGGAATGAAGCCCAAGACCCTTCGGTGTGGGCCGATGCTCTGACCACTGAGCCACCAGCCAGGGCAGCGTGGTGTTTTTATTTATTATTAAATATATTTGTATTGATTTCAGAGAGGGAGGGAGGAGAGAGAGAGGGAAACATCAATGATGAGAGTCATGGACCGGCTGCCTCCTGCACGCCCCCTGCTGGGGATCGAACCCGCAACCCGGGCCTGTGCCCTTGACCCAATCGAACCCGGGACCCTTCAGTCCCAGGCAGACTTTACCCACCGAGCCACCGGCCGGGCGCGGCTTCCATTAGGAAGGATGGCCCTTGAGCTCCGTGCTCACTGCGCAGCGGACGCCGGTGGAGACGCGGAGGGGGCGGTTGCTGCCCTCGTCCTGCGCCCCAGCCTCCAACCCCAGTGCCCGCCCGGGCCGCCTCC